AAGCAGTTGTTTACATCAATGGCACACCATATGTGCTCAGGGAGCTAAATAAACCTGTTGATGTTCTCAAGCATGTTGGAATTACTGGTCCAGTGGTCAGTCATTGTTGAATTATTTTTTTCCTTTAAAGAACAAGCTATTAGTGAAGTATGTTACTAATTTCCTGTATTGTAACTGTTATGCAGGTAGAACTCATGGAGGCCCGACTAAAAGAAGATATAGTATCTGAAATTAGGCAGTCTGGTGGTCGAATACTTTTACATCGTGAAGAATATAATCCAGCAACAAATCAGTCCTGTGTCATAGGATATTGGGAGAACATCTCTGTAGATGCTGTGAAGACACCAGCTGAAGTGTACGCTGCTCTAAAGGATGAGGGTTATGATATAACATATCGGAGGATTCCATTAACGAGAGAGAGGGAGGCTCTAACTTCTGATGTTGATGCAATACAGTATTGTAAAGAAGAGTAAGTACCATAATCCTCTGCTCCATATTAACACAATTTGTCTCTTCAATTATAAGCCTGGTAGCAATATTTCTATTCAGTATTTGATAACCATGGTATGTGGAACTTGAAGATTTGTCTGGGGTTCAGACTGCTGTTTAAGCCTCTCTGGCAGCACCACGCCATTTTCACATTATTATCTCAAGCATCTATTTAACTGGACAAAAAAGAGTTATGCTGCCAAGTTATGATTTTTCCGCAAGGTGGAAATCATTTCATAACTGTGCCCTTTTGTCTCTCCAATTGTTCATGTAATTGCTAGTCCAAAAGTTACCCAAAGCCTAAAATAAAACTCTATCACGCTGCAGACTTTGAAAATCATAACTGATTAATTAATCCCTGGCAATAATGGAACTTGTCTCCCAAATATTTGTCAAATATGGACCGTTTCTTTTTACTGGACATTATGATATCGATTGTGACTGAGCTGATTCATGCTAAATGATGGCCTAGTCATACTGAAAGAAAGCAATCATCTGTCAATTAGTAGCATATTTAAATAGCAGTTGATTTTGACTTTGAGTAGTACAAAGAATTTAGATAAATCAAAAGTTCAAGCAGTCTTAAGTTGCTGACAACTTTCTTTTTGAGTAAACAATAATAAGCGATTTCCTTAACCAAAACTATTTGCAAGTGCTTGGTTGGAAATGGACTCCCAACAACTTGCAATTTTTTTAGCTCATAACAGAATTGGATTTATGTAGCCCATGACAAGTAGTATGGTTTTGAGGTTTAGTTTAGTTGGGTGTTTATGGAAGCAGATGATTATTATTTTTAGATTCTTATTGGGAATTTTGACACCTGGCCTTTCCACAATTTATGCTCTGGGAGATTCTTTGGTATTATTTTAAGTAGTCCTTTCTTAAATTATGCTTGGGTGCAGAGATAGTGTTGCAAACTAACTAAAATTTGTCTGTAGCTGTGAGGGGAGCTACCTTTTTGTTTCACACACAGGCTTTGGAGGTGTTGGCTATGCAATGGCAATTATTTGTATCAGACTTGACGCGGAAGCAAAGTTCACATCAAATATTTCACAAACAGTGGTTGGTAGACGTTCATCGTCTATGTCTGAAGTGAACTTACCTTCTGAGTTGTCTGATGAAGAAGCACTGAGGATGGGTGATTACCGTGATATACTTAGTCTTACAAGAGTTCTCACGCATGGTCCAAAGAGCAAAGCAGATGTAGACATTGTTATTGAAAAGTATGTGTTTTTCCTTTCAGTCCTTTTTTCATTAAAAAAGAGAAAAGGCAATAACTGAATGCAAGTTTATAAGATGGTTGTTGAGGCATAATTATAGGAAAAGAAGATAAATTCTCCATAACTTGGGGAAAAGCAGAAAGTGACAATGTGTTATCTGATTGGCCTGTTTTTCTGTCAACTTGGATTGAAAAATGTTTACAACTACAGGTTATTTTGTTGTGTGAAGTTATGTTTTGTTTTAGTTAAGCTCTACCTTTTTTTTTAATTAATTGGTCTTCATTGTCATAATTTGATCGTTGTGCTGAGACCCTTCCTTTCTTTTAAAGGTGTGCAGGTGCAGGGCATTTGCGTGATGATATTCTTTATTACAACAAGGAACTTCAGAAGTCTCGTGATGATGACGATGAGCAACGTGCATACCTTATGGATATGGGCATCAAGGCATTAAGGTTGGTTGATATGTCTTGGCAATTTAATCTTAGAGCCTTTGCTAAGTAGCTTTTTGTAATCCTCCTTTTCTCTTGGAAGATATACTCAATCTGCTTGGTCCATGTTGCCTTTCGTTAATCAACATAGAAAGCCACAAGATTTGCACTTGCATTTTATTCCATTTCAGTCTGGTAACCTAGGACTATGTTGGATTTGAATCTGTCCTATATTTAAGGTAAGGGCATCACCATGGTTAGCCTTGCCCATCGACATCCAACCTCTTAATACTTCATATGACACAGCTATTTACTTCTGACTTTGAGGCTGTACTTTAAGTCTGCACCCCTTTGGTTTTTCATGTCACTGGAAAGTTGTTTGTACCCTTACATGCATATAATTTAGTGCATGGATGGTAATTTAATGGGAATAGCATGAATTTTCTAAATAAATTGGTGTCAATTAGAACAATAGATTGGATGTTTTAAGTAATGCTTAATGCTCCTGCAATTTCCTAGTCTCAGCTTGTGTACACATCTAAAATTTTCCTAGACTCCTGAAAAGAACAACACTTTTGCATGTCCATTGCTGTGGGTTCTTGGTTCCTAAGCAACTCTATATCATATTATGTGACCAGTTGCTTTTGCCCATTTTCAGGAGGTATTTTTTTCTAATCACATTCAGATCATATCTCTACTCGACGAAAGCAAGTGAAACGAAATTCACATCATGGATGGATTCGAGGCCTGAACTAAGACATCTATGTAATAATCTCAGGATGGATAAATAATTTCAGGGCACATAAAAACTCTATTCAAATGTATTTTTGTACAGCTAGCCATGTTTGTAGTTTCATTGCCAATAACTTTACTTTCTACTTGATGCTCCATGCTGTTGCAAGGTTTGGTTAGAACAGTAAAAAAAGAACACACGAGTTTTAGAACTGATACATCAATCAACATTACATAAAGATCATGTCAGTGGGTGGGTCTTGAGCCAAAACTCAAATTTGTTTTGTCTTCTATATAATGCTAAGACAAAACTCTTCATGTTTGACCCTTGCTTGGGTGTCAATTCTTGTGTTGAAATTTGATTAAGGGGGTGGGAGGTTTTCAGGAGTTGAATAGTGCATGTAAGTTTGACAAACCGATTGGAGATGCGTGTAATTTTATCCTGCAAAAACTCTGAAGGTTATCCTGGGATGTAGCTGTGAAGTAAAAGCACAAGTATGCTCATGAACATGAAAGTTGAAGCAATTGGTTGTTCGAGGACGCATGCCTGCGTCCGTCAATTTTTAGAATTGCCCTTCCGTGCCCTTAACTTCACGGACTCGCAGCTATCACCGCGGTGCGCAGATTTTCAAGTAAAATATTCGTTTCAGTGCGTTGGTTAAAAAAAATAAAAATGCACGCTCTTACTATGGACTACATGAGAGATAAGTACATGATGAAGTGTCGGTTAATTACAATCCACAGGTAGCATAAATATCATAGAAAATTTGAAGTTGCTTCTTATAAACATTAAAAAAAATTATTTCATGGATCATGCACATGTGAGTCGAAGTGATATGGTAGCACTAGCTTAGGGTTTTTGCACCAACCAAATAGATCAGACACTCTTTACCCATCCATGTGAACATGGCTCCGGTTTGTGTAATAATTTTTCTAAAATCTCGAAACGTTGTCTTTGGATTTCCTTTCTTATGTATTATTACTGCCGTGAAATTTACTTTATGCGAAGAAAAAAATAAAAGATTTTAAGTGGTGGACCGTGGATTTTTTAAAAAAAAAAATTAGCACAACAAACATAAAATTTTGATTCAAAATATAATTATGTTTTCAATTTCTAGACTAAAAAGTAGATTTCAATTAAAATCTAAAAAAAATATTATTTATATAATAGTAAATATGAATTTATTATAATTAAATGAGCTAGCATAGCATATATATTTATTAACTATTACAGCAAGTTTAAAACCAATAGGAGAACTGATTGCGTTATACTATAATAACAATTCAAAAAGATTATAACTTTTTATTTGGTTGTTCAATGCATTACTACACAGATTGTTGGATCTTAAAATATTAAAAATTTTATTGAGATTTTGATTTTTATAGTTTTAAAAATTTTAAGATTTTGATTTTGATAGTTTTGAATTTTGATTTTATTTTTAAAATTAATTGACTAACATCATTAACCATTACAAACTAGTAAATGATTGAGTCAGAAATAATACAGTTTAATCGTGTTACATTTATGAAATATGAAATAATCAAAATGTTTTATGTCACCAAAATGTTTTGCTCATATATCAATTTTTTTTTTTAATTTTGAATTTATTTGCTCAATTTATCCAAAATCTCCAGATATTTTTATTCAAAGAAAACGTTCGCAAGATTTTAATGCGGGAATTCTGGGCCGTTATGAAAACCGTGCTAAGAAGAATTATTCAAACCTAACAAACCTCTTAGACTCTCAAGTGGAAGTGGAAGTGGAACTTACTCTCACAAAGAAACATTCTTGGGGTTTCCTTCACTTCACCACTCAATGTGACCCATATGCAGGTTGAAAAGAAAAGGGAAATGGTGATGGATTTGCATGTGATTTGCTCTCTGTAATTATTACAATGTTATTATTGTTTCTTCTTCTAGATTGATGGAATTTATTTTGTATTAATAATAATATAAAAAACGTGTACGATGATTTGCATGAGCACATGTAGATGCTAGCAGTCTTGAAACAAAAACCCCAACAAGAGGGAGGTGGCTCTCCCTGCTAAGTTCTTCCTTCTCCTTAAAACGTGTATGAAACACATGGGGCTGGCTTTAGTTCTAAGCTGGCTGCGAATCTCGAAAACTTAATTAACTTGGTCTTAGTTTCAAGATATCTAGACTAGAGAACCCTTTCTCTTAAAAAAATAAATAATAAATAGCTGTAGACAAAAAAGTGATTGTCAACTGTTAAATGATATCGGACCGCCATTCCTTGCTCCATTTTGAGGCAACTCAAGAAACTGCTGCTATTCATTTAATTCCAGGCATATAATAAAGGTATAATCCCATTTCTTGATTCATCATAATTGTTCCCCTTTTCTATTTAAATATGTGTTTGCAAGTACTTTAGGCAATGCTTTCCGTTTAATCCTTGCTTTGTTTTTTACAACCAGCATTACATTGGTTGAGAGCCAGTTATTAATAGATTGTGGTGGGTGCCTACAAGTCTGTCCAGTTTTTCGCTTTATAGAACCTGTGATTTCCAATCCCAAAAGGAATAAGTGTAGTTGTGGAATTTGTTCGTATTGATTATCTGATCTGAAATAACTTTTTTTCCTTCACTTCCTTTTTACTTGTGCAGTCCAAGAACAGAGAAGATCTCAGTTAGGTCTTAGTACATATAATTTGTGTAGAGATGGTAGTGGGAGAGCTGCATGGATTTACGCCAGTATCATCCAAGATGAAATCGTCTACACGTAACATATTTCTGTCATCACCATTTGTTGGGCGTAAACTGGGCAATGGAGGACATGCATATACCTCAATTTCTGGTGTTCAGCTATCAAAATTCAACTTCCCTAGGAAAACATGGAACACTAGTAGACGGCACTCAACTACTACTGCAGTTCTAGCCGATTTTACTAAAGACTTTATGGTAACTTTTATATATTTTAACCTTTATTTGATATCCAGTTGCCGTCTCTAAATGAGCATGCCAAGTTTCCTTATTGGCCATTGTTAACTAACTGTTATTTGGATCAACTTGAATTTGCTACGTAGACTTTTCAGGCATCAATGTTTGAGAAACAAGCAGCAGACCCTAAGACTGTTGCTGCTATCATTTTAGGTGGTGGAGCTGGAACAAGACTCTTTCCTCTTACTCGAAGAAGGGCTAAACCAGCTGTAAGTAACTCGAAATACTCCTGAAATAGAAGTATCCCATTTTTTTTTTCATAATGTTGCGACTCTCAATTCTACTAATTTATCACATTTTGTCTTCTTTGTATGGTGTACTTAGGTACCAATTGGGGGATGTTACAGGTTGATTGATGTTCCAATGAGTAATTGCATCAATAGTGGAATTAACAAAATTTACATCCTCACACAGTTCAATTCTCAATCCCTTAACCGTCACATTGCTCGAACATATAATCAGGGAAATGGTGTAGACTTTGGCGATGGATTTGTTGAGGTATGTTGAATCTCTTAATTAATATGATAGGCTGTACTCTATTTTGAAGATGCTATTTTATATACTAGGATCAACTGTGTGCTTGGTGCAGATAACAGCATAGTCTTTTCCCTTTTTACCTGCACTAGAATAGAATGAGTTTTTAGCATCCGAGCAATTGCACTTCTAATTATGCTTCATTTTCCACGATAGGTATTGGCAGCTACCCAGACACCTGGTGAATCTGGTAAGAAGTGGTTTCAGGGTACAGCAGATGCTGTAAGACAATTTATTTGGTTGTTTGAGGTATGAAATTCTCTATCATGTCTGCATCTTGATTCTGCGAACTGTCATTCCAAGCAGATTTAGAATAGAAAGCTAATGGCATTAGATCACAGATAAATAATCGGTAACTCATTCAGCCAAATGAATATATGGTCTTGATGTTTAAATTTTAAGGGGCCGATTTTGTGGTAATCTCTGCAGGATGCGAAGCTTAGAAACATTGAGAACATTCTGGTATTATCTGGTGATCATCTTTATCGAATGGATTACATGGACTTTTTGCAGGTTTAAGCATCACTTCAAACCTGGTTAACACTTCACTCATTTTCTAGACTCAAGTGATTTTTGTTAAATAATACTCTCTGCCTGCAGAAGCATATTGAATCGGGTGCTGACATTTGTGTCTCTTGTCTTCCCGTGAATGACAGGTTACTAACTTTAATCATAGATTTTCCTGATTCTCACAACCGTTTCCTTCTTCCAGACTGTAATGTCATCAAGAAAACACAGTTTAATTAAAAGTCCTTGTTTAGAGTTCTTTTACTTCGTTCATCATGGTTTTATTTCTTCTTGCTGCAGTCGTGCATCTGATTTTGGGTTGGTAAAGATTGATGAAACAGGACAGATAAGACAATTTCTTGAGAAGCCTAAGGGTGAAAATTTGAAATCTATGGTGTGTTACTTTATTTGTTTTAGCCTCATGAGATAGTCCATGGAACAATATCATAAGAATTGCTGTGGTTTGAAACTAACAAGTGTCGTCTTAACAATTTCTGTTGTTTCAGAAAGTGGATACAACTGTTTTAGGATTATCAGCTCAAGATGCAAATAAATTTCCATACATTGCATCGATGGGTATATATATGTTCAAGACAGATGTACTGCTAAAACTTCTCAGGTAAAGTAGCATGCAAGGAATGCATCTTTCCCTTTACAATATTCTTCATAGCTAAACATCGGCAAACTTACTTTGAATAAAATTTTGAAACAATTGAAAACATCTGTTTTACCTCTTAACTATAAACCAAAAATTGAGTTTTATACCCGAGAAAGAGCTTGAATACATTTTAGTTCGTACCTTCTGATTCCAGTCACTTATTCTTACCGTTGGATCAATTTGACTTTTAGCTGAACAATTTTGTGAGACAATCACTTGTAAAGAAAACTTCTTGTTATATGGGCCTGTGTGTGGTGGTTTTCTTGGGAGTTCCATAGCCATTTATCTTCTATTACTAATTTATAAGAAGCATGTGAAGTGAGCATATTACTGTTGAAAGCACAGACAGATCAAAACAATAATGATTTTGTTAAGCTCCATGCCAATCAGTTCCTTTATCTTGATCAATCATATTATTCCACACTTCGGTGCTAATTCAATGCCATCTCGGGCTAATGATTTTAAAACTAGCGGTATTTTACTTTGTGAGTATGCTAACATTTCAGATTTTGCAATCTCTTTTTGTCATGGTAGTGGGTAGAGACCAGTGTTTTGCTATTTGATGGAAGGAATTATCTTTACACCATAGATATGAAGAATAAATGGTTTATCCCATATAATTGATTTTAATTCAGGGTTGAATAAACTAATGTGTTAAACATTTATAATTCATGAGTAGGGCTTCACGAATGCAACATATTTCCCCATAAGCAGAAACATGAACAGTAAAGAGTAACTTGGAATAATCTTACTTTTTTCTGCTATGATAATTGCTTCTTTAGGTGGAATTATCCAACAGCCAATGATTTTGGATCAGAAATTATTCCAATGTCTACAAAGGAGTATAATGTTCAGGTAATTTCCTCGAATAAAAAACAATCATAGTTTAACTTGTAACCAGATCTCAATACTGCATAAATAGAGTTCATTCATTTTCTGGCCTTGTGAAGCTTGCCTTTTATGGATTGCATCTTAAAAACATATTCCATTTACTGGTTTTCAATGAGAGTATGTGAATCTGCATCATAAAAAGGAAATGTTAAATTTTACTCAAGAAATTACTGATGGAACTTTGTTGATTCCATACCAGGCATATCTATTCAATGGATACTGGGAGGATATTGGAACTATAAAATCTTTCTTTGATGCCAACTTGGCCCTAACGGACCAGGTAGTTTTCTTTAAACTTTCTTAGTGCAGTTTTTGGTGGTCCAAATGAAATTTTATAACCCACCATCTTTTTCCATACTTTTGCAGCCTCCCAATTTTCACTTCTTTGATCCTCTGAAGCCAATCTTCACTTCTCCCCGATTTCTGCCGCCAACTAAAATCGAGAAGTGCCGGGTATGATTTTAAACTCATTTCTTATATACTGTAACATTCTCACGGTCATGTTTCCGTGAACTGAGCTTGTGCAGTAACTCTTAGCTATTTTAGGTCAAGGATTCCATAGTTTCGCATGGTTGCTTTTTAAGGGAGTGTAGTGTTGAACATTCCATTGTCGGCATTCGCTCTAGACTGGAATACGGGGTTGAGCTGAAGGTAACTATTCCCTTCTCATTCTTTTGTTTGCAATGACAAACTAGCTAAAAGTTCATCTGAGGAAGAGATATGACAGAAAGTTCCTTCTGGATAATAAACTGAAAATAATTGTCAGATGGGACTGGACTTCGAAGTTCAATGTCTGTTCTAATGTTAAGATAAAGAAGACTATATCTTGCATGTAATTTCTTCTAGCAATATCTTAGCAGTTACTTGGTGAATAAGTTATATGGACCTCTAATATGGAACATTTTATGTACATCACAATGATATAGTATGAATAAATATGCTGTGGAAAATCTGGTGGATTTCATATGAATCTTGTTCCTATAAGCTTGACATTCTCGTATCCAGAACAAAGATCTTTTCTCCGCTTGCTTGACAATTGGAGGACATGTTTAAGAATCAAAGCCATGTAATCAGTGCACTTGGATTACATCAGTGCTCTGAATCGTATATTCCACAGGATACCATGATGATTGGTGCTGATTATTATCAAACAGAGGCCGAAATAGCAGCCTCTTTAGCAGAAGGAAGAGTTCCAGTAGGTGTTGGGAAAGATACCAAAATTATGTAAGTTCACTGCGAAAGTTAACAGAAGCAAAAGATTTTGATATTTGAACTGATTTTTTCAAATTGCTCATCAAGGTTTTTTGGCAGAAAGAAAATATTTAAGAACATATGAGGATCCCTTTCTTCAACTTTTAGCCGCCTGTTTTATTTCCTTGTTGACATATGCAACTAGAGAACTGTGGACAAGATAGTTAACTGGAATGCAGTATAAATGTGTCCCGCGCCCTTTTATATTGCTCTTGTGGTGATAAATGTTTTCAATTTAACCCTTTAGAGATAATAATATAATTATTTATGAGGTACATATGGTTATTTCTATCGTCCTGCAGGAATTGTATAATCGACAAGAACGCCAGAATTGGAAAGAAAGTGACCATAGCAAACAAAGAAGTAAGTATTTCTGCAAAGTTGTCAGCTCCTTCCCTCCCTCACACGCACCACGATTTTCTGAAATTCCTCTGGAGGGAAGGGGGTAAAGAAGTTTAATGATGTATATTACATTTTCAAGATACACTTGTGAACAGAGCATGCTGTACATACTCAAATTCTGTGATTTTGGCTTGAGTTGCAGGGTGTGCAAGAGGCAGAGAGACCATCCGAGGGATTCTATATCAGATCAGGAATAACTGTGGTGTTAAAAAACTCTGTAATAAAGGATGGAACGATCATATAGAAGGCGAGAAGGTGCATACATGTATATACAAGACTTGATCATGGTTGTTTGCAGAATAGGACTGCACTCCATACAATAGGTTGATCTTGTCGTTACTTCCTTTTGTATTATCAGAATTTTGAATCCCATTTTCATCCAGCACAGAGACAGGGTTTCTGGTCCATAGATATGTCAAGGATTTTCATAGAAGTTATTTGGGTAAAAAGTGTCAAACTTCATTGAACCATTGATCAAAGTAAAATTAGTCATTGAATAAATTATTCGGTATTCGAGATTTATTAACAAATTAGAGGAGCTTTGAAGACTTGCCAAACTCTCCTATAATGAGTGGCTTTCTAAGCACCGATCTGGAGTCTTGGATCCATCTATCCACAAATGAGTCTTGCTCTTCTTCACTTGAATTTGGCCACCTGCCATTGCATTAATCTAGCAAGACTTGCAGATAAGTTATGATCTAAACGAAGGTACAATGAGTTAAAGGATGATAAAAAAATAAATATATTACCATTGATCTGGGTAGAGATGAATGGTGGCAAAATCTACGGGATTTCAATCTTGGAGATCAAATCAGTGCCAAAAAGGAGGTTGCCAGGATTTGATTGCTTCTTTGAGTCGCCATAATATCCTTCTAGTTCTAGCCCTATTTCTAGAAGATGGTGATTATCAATGGATTTAATGTGTGCTGTGCTGCCATTTCACTGACCCAGTCCTGCAATAATTTCAACAAGAGTCTGCTTTGTTAATATTCCCCCATTAAATTTTGTTTTTTTTTTTAAATATGTTTAGATATATTAATATTAAAAAAATTTAAAATAATAAAATAAATTATTTTAATATATTTCAAATAAAAAAACACTTTGAAAATTTTAATTATATAAGATTTGAACATCAAAAAAAATATTAAAATCACGATTAGCTATTTAATATTAATATTAAATCTTAGGTGAATTTTAAAATTTATCGACTTGAATTGTTTAATAATGTAAGTTTATATTGTATGATTTTATATAAATGATTTTATTTTTTCTCTCTAAATTTTAGCAATTCATATTTATCTTTTATATTAAATATGTAGGTAATTGACAAGTATATTGTCTATACCGTTCAATTTTTCTTTAGTTCTTATGAAATGTCTGCATAAATTTTTATAAGACCTCTGAATTAAAATAAATACATGTACTAATTCAACTTAAATCTAATTGCAATTTCAATTAGAATTTGAATACCTTTTATTCTGAAATGAATAAAAAAAAAAAATCAAATTCCCCGCTGGTTGCAAGACTCTAACGTACTGAAACGGTGGCGTTGAAAATGAAAGTGAGAAGGAACGAAACGCTGCGTTTAGATTGGGTTTACGCTGAACATCAATGTTACTAAAACGTTAACATTGACATTGAAATTCCAAAAGCGGCATAAAGGGCAGGAAAATGGGGACGCGGATGATGCAGAAGACGAGAAATTTCAGGAAGAGGACCTTCGAAGAAGATGAGGATAGCAAAGCATCAGACGACGACGAACAAGAAAGAAGGTAAAAATAAAATAAAAATAGATTAAATACAGTTTCGAGAAATAATTAGGGTTTTCAGTTTTACATCGATTTAATTAATTAATTAATGGATGTCAGATTGGCATTAGAAGAGGTGAAATTCCTGCAGAAACAGAGGGAGAGGAAGTCAGGAATCCCTGCATTAGCAACAACTTCGCAAACTGCAACCACAGTAGCTGCCAAATTAACCGAAAAGACCGATGGAGATGGCGAAAAAGAAGAGCTTGTTCTTCAAGACACTTTTGCTCAAGAAACTGCTGTCATGGTCGAAGATCCCAACATGTACCTTACCTACTATCTTCTTTTTCTTTACAAATTTATTTTTGAGGTTTCTTCATCCTGGGCGGTTGTGTTTGTCTTAATGAAAACCCACAGGTTGCAGTATGTTGAGCAAGAATTGGCCAAGAAAAGAGGGAAGAATATTGATGCAACTGATCAAGTTGAGACGGAGTTGAAGCGTGCTGAAGATGAACTATACAAAATTCCGGAGCATCTTAAAGTGGGTAACCTGGTTTTAGTACTAAATATTTCTCCATTTACTATTTATGTTGATCATGCTTTTTTATTTCTCAATTTTCAAGAATGTTCTTGTAACGTGGAACTTCTTGTGAGTATTAATCTTTTTTGTTCTTTTTTTTGAAAATCTGTACATGTACTTGCGTGTGTGTTTATTTCTTATGCTGTTCTGAGATGCTGGTTATCTTTACCAGGGACAATCTGATATTACTTTCACTCTTCTGACTGTTTCCTTGAACTTCTCACTGCACGCTGTCAGGTGAAAAAGCGAAACTCAGAAGAAAGCTCTACTCAGTGGACTACTGGGATTGCGGAGGTTCAGCTACCCATTGAGTATGCCTGCCTTTTTAATTTATTAACAAATTGTGATCCGTGTTTTGGCATATCTCTTTTGGCATCATTATATTTGGAGCACTACCATGCTCAATTTGCTTCATGAAAGTGGAGTGTTTGCCTTCAAGGGCAATCCTTATCTGATTTGTTTTGCATCAATTCTGTTACTGCATGATGTAATGGGCAGTATAGAAAGAGTGTCTGACGTATGGCTTGACTGTTTATCCTCAATAAACTTAATAACTGTTTCCTTGGTTGCAGATACAAACTGAGAAATATTGAGGAAACAGAGGCAGCCAAAAAGCTTCTACAGGAGAAAAGGCTAATGGGTAGACCAAAATCAGAATTTAGCATCCCTTCCAGCTACAGTGCTGATTATTTCCAACGCGGCAGGGATTATGCTGAGAAACTTCGACGAGGTTGCTGGCTGTTTCTTATAATATTGCACCCTTTCATCATATGAGTGGATTGGTTCTTTACCTCACCCCATCTTTTTACTAAAATCAAAATCCAGGTCTTGCAAGTCTTGAATGTGTGGGCTGTTTATATTTCTTACAACCTTCTCTAAAAATATGCTTGCTCCGTCTTTTGATGCTTTTGAGTGATTTTCCTTTCTTTTCCTTTCTTCTTTTGTTTTCTGACAATGAAGATGAACTTGCAGATCATCCTGAGCTGTACAAGGACAGGAGTTTGCAGGATGATGCTGTTGCTGGATCCAAACCAGCTGATAAGAGCACTGATGCAGCTGGACGGAGGCTAGCTGCAACGGATGAGTTCATGCTAGAGCGCTTCCGAAAACGAGAACGTCATCGGGTCATGCGAAGATAGCATGCACTTCAAACATGCGACATTCTGAGAAAAGTAACTTGGCAAGGATGGCTCATTTTTTGTTGTAACCTTCGCTGCTTCAAATTCTTAGCAACATAAGATGGTATGGTCACTGCAACCACTCATATGATTCAACTTGCCTGTATGGTCATGCAGCAAGACAGGGATTGGGTAATTAGATTGGAAATGTCACCAATCCCTCGTTTTGCAAATAACTAGCAGGTTAGTGGTTGGAACCTTACACTTATGGTGAATGTGCATTTCCTTAGCCACCAACTACTTTCCGTTTATTATGAATTGCTTTCTGTATGAGAAATCAGGATTCTCAAGGCCTTTTTGTTTTTATCCTTTTGCCAGCTCGTTCAAATCATGGTTGTCAATTGACAAATTGAGGTCGACGGTACTTTACATCTATAAGGTATGGGTTGAAGGTTGTGGCAGAATGGGGCTTAGCTGTAGTTTTAATTCAATGTTCTTGCGTGTTTGGTTTAAGCAACCTATATCGTATGAAGGCTTTGGTTTTTCTTTTCATCCGTGAAACTATTTCACCTGTTTTAAAAACTAAGAAAGTGTAGAACCGTGTTTGTTCACATCTGCATTGCAGCGCAGATTATATGATAATGTAGATTAGCTCTAATGAAATAAAGCCATGCTCGATCCATTTGCCATGGCTATTGTAGGTCCAGATTAAATGATCACATAAACTATACCTTCTCGGAAAAGACCTGATGATGATGAATTTACATTTTATTTATGGCTTTATTTATATTTAAAGTTTTCATTTTGTATGTAACATGTTAAATTTATCGTTGATTTTTTTAGTGTACGGAAAGTTTCAAAATGATTTTGAACTCGCACAATTAAATTTATTTTCTTAGAATTTATCTTCAAATGAATAAAGCCTTCAATAATGCTAATAATTCAAAACACTTCTTTAATTTCACTCCTATTATTTTTTAATCTATAAATAATCTTTTAATTTTTTTTATTGCACTTCCCTACTATTTTTAAATATATAAATAATTTATTAAATTATAAATATTTTTTAATATAACCCTAATGATTTTTTTTTATTTTTTAAATTTAGTTTTAACTCTTTTAATTGCTATTTATTTTGTTTGATATTAATTTAAAAAAAAATTAAATTTATTTATCCTTGGGGTGATATTAATTTAAAAAAAAATTAAATTTCATTATCCTTGGGGTTTTTTCTAGCAAATTTTATCCCTTTTTTTGTTATTTTATTTTTGGCTTTTGTATTTTTTTATTGATATTTTTTCACTGTTTTTATTTTTCAAAATTAATTTGGATAAGAGTTAAATTTCTTGGTTTAACTTATGAATTTTATAAGTTGTGAATTTTAAAGGTTATATCAAATTTAACTTAAAATAAAGATTTTACATGCTAGATCAAACTTAGGAGATTTGTCTAAATTTGTTTTTTTTTGTTAAGGTAATGTTTTTTGTATTCTTTTTTTTCGGTGGTTTGTCTATTATTGTTTTTAATTTCACATCGTAATTTTTTTTAATCTATAAATAATTTATAAAATTATAAATGAGTTTTAATTACAATCCTATTATTTTATTATCTTTTAAATTTAATTTTTATTATTTTAATTGTTATTTATTTTGTTTAGGTTTGTTTTTAAAATTATTTATATTTTTTAATTCCATTTTCCTTGGATTTTTTTTGTAATTTTTTAATAATATATTTAATGATTTTATTATGAGAATTAATTTTTTTAATTAAATTGTTTTTTTTATTAAACTCAGGTTCATGAGTTAATAAGATGTAAGTTTTAAAGGTTAGATTAAATTTCAAAAGTTTATTTAATTATTTTTTTTTTGGTTTATATCAGATTATCATTGGGTTATTTTATAATATAAATAGGTTAATATATATATATATATATTAAGGCAGTTTATTCATGAAATTGGATTCTTTTACCCTACTACTTTTTTTATTAATTTATTTATTGTTAGTACAAATTTTGCTCTGCTCGTGACGAATCACGGGCACACACCCAGTTACATACCAATCAGTGGAATATATTTTAGGATTATAAGTCATAAATGGAGGATGGTGATTGAGAGAATACAAGCGTATGTTGGTTCAAGTTTTCTGAAATTTGGACAAAATCCAAAGCTACTACGTTGTAGACTTGTAGTATCCGTTGTTCGTACAGTTGAGATGCCAATAATTTTCTTCCAATCAGACAATAAATTATAATCGCAAGCGTAGTTGTCAAAATCGTTATTCCTCTCAACACAGGTCTCATTTTCGAAATAGCTATTAACAAGGAAAAACCGCTATTCCTCTCCTCACATGTTACTGCTCACTGGAACAGTACATGCTTTACATATATATTGAATTTATTTAAATTTTAATTTTTTTATATAAGATATCATGATGACAGTATTAAAATAATGCTACAATCATCTATTTTTTTATATTATTAAATAAAAAATAGTTCTGAAAAAATATAATTATTATAAATTAGGTTTCAAGATTAATTTTAATTTATTTTTTATATAATTATAATAATATTAGAAAAACATACCAGTATTGGACTAGTATTCAACTTTTTAAGCATTTATTTTTTATTATATTATTAAAAAAATTTAAAAAAACTTAATTATTAAAAATTAAACTTTATGATTTATTTTAATTTACTTTATAGAATTATCATTAGAAAAACATCATAGTATTAAGTTGATACTTGATTTTATAAATATTTATTTTTTATTATATAATTAAATAAAAAATTTAATAAAATAAAGTAATATTTTTAAAATTATATTATATTTTTATTAATTTAATCAGTCAAATTAACTAAATTTTATTAAAACAATTAGTAGATAGTTTAATTTAAAATAAGCAAGATTACAAAGGAGATTTCAGATTCAACCACACTAAATTAGGTTTAATCACACATCAAAGAATTATCGGCGTTATTTTTTTACGTACAAGAAATTTTTTATCCCGCCGGGTAGGGCAGGGAATTGTCTATTGATCCACTAGACATCTAATTCTTCTCCTATATCCTATCCTGGTTAGGCAGACTTCTGTATACTAAGTTTTCTGATTTGTAGCTGCAAGAAAACAAATAAACAGAGAAGGTATACTGTAGAGAGAACATCCTCGGTGCTGCAGCAGTCATTTCATTCATATCAGTGGACTGACTGAGGTACACATTCTTCCAATTCAGAAGGCATACATGTACTGGAATAGAGAGAGAGTTAAGAGCACCTTCGCCGTGTAAATTTCTAGGATCAATGTTGAATAAGCCAGTACATTGGTTAATCCATTTACATTATATGAGGCACTATACAAGAACCCCTCTTCCAGTGTACTGGTTGATCCATTTACATTTCAACGAGGAACTATACAAGAACGTCTCTTCGTACCCCCTAAACTCCTTTTACATAGATCTAAGAGGAAAGTCCTAAGAATTTCTGCAGCAGAAAGAATTCTAGAAGATAGTCTATACTGTATTTTCTAGTTTAATAACATCCAGCGCTGAAAAGAAAGGTACCTTGTTTTGTCGCCAAAGGAACATCCATTCATTTATTCTTGCTGCACAATCTAGCCAAACCTGTACATTTGAACTTGGGTATCAGTTCCTCCACAAAGCACTTGCAACAAAACAAATACTCAATATTTTAAGGCCACAGAAAGCCACACAGCTAAAAAGAGTAGCTGCACCTAAGCTCATTAACTTATTCATGAACTAAGCAACCATTCCACGTGCAGGTGTAAGAGGTCCGCCACAATACCATTGAAACTCTAACTCTAAGCTCAGCCCAGAAAACATTGTGACTACAAATAACTTGCTCTAACTTTTAACTTTTTTCACCTCAACAGATTCATGACACTGACTTTTAGCTCCACTCTAATGTGACCATACAAACTTCTGTCATATGCTGCAAATATGCTTCCTATTCGAAGGCATTTCGAGGCAATAGAAATCCCCACACTAACCCACCCAAATGTCCACCAAAAGCTTAAGGCAAGGTTGTGAACTGGGCTCAAAAACAAGGCAAGCCCATGCAAGCTGAGCCTAGCAACCAGATGTGTAGCCCTGTTGCAGCTCCAATTCCGTGGCAAACTATTTCTGAGTTAATTTTTTTCCTCTAGGGAAAGAACTTGTGTTTATAATGAAATGTTTATAATGAAAACATTTTCAAAAATCCACTTAAGCTGGTGAACAAAATTACTTGGACTATTTTTTAGAATTACCTTCAAGAGTCAATGTGAGGGTTTTGAAGCACGTATCTAGCATTGTGCAGAATACCACTTGCCTCCTCATTTGAGACATCAAGCAACCTCAATTCTTTGATCTCCTCCTGCCATTTCTCCATTTGCTCCTTGTGTATCCTGTGGCCACACCATAAAATATAGAAAACATTGAAAAACCACAGCTGCAACGATAAAAATTGCATTTAATAAGATTTCAAACTCACAAAATCAAGCGTTCTTCAAATTCATTACTCAGCTCCTTAAACATTGCTTTTCCTGATTCCAGTAACTCAGATACCTACATGAATTAATAACAAAAGTGCCTAGGCATAAATATCAACGAAAGGGAAATTGCTGGTGTACATAAATTATCTCCTCCCCTTGGTACATTTAGTTTTTTTCATCTGACGACCAAAAAAGGGAGGTATTTTACATGCAGGAATTCATCAATGGCTCTTCATTCAAAATATTCTAAGAAACGGGATGAAAATAAAGCAGAATTGAAAGACTACCATTTGGGTGAAGTGTTCAATCTTTTCGAAAATATGTGTAATGTTCAGTTCCATCTCTTCAGATCCCACAATGTTTGTCTCAGTTTCTTCCTTCTCTACAATCACTAGAGCTGCTCCATCTATGACCTCTTGTCCATTCTCATCTATCTGAGAAATATTACAATCAAATGCTGCCACAAAAAAAAAAATACAAACTTTGCATTACAATTAAAGGCTTTGGATTAAACTTTGCATTACAATTAAAGGCTTTGGAAAGTGAAGGACAAACAGTCATACACCATGCTTCATGCGCTTCCTTGATTCGCCTTCCATATCCGTTGTTGCTGGTCAAAAATCATAAGGTTTCCTCAGTTCTAGATATATAGTTAAATTGGAAGAAACACATAAGTATGCAAAAAATTTAAAAAGAAAAATTAGGTCAGAAAGGATGTCGAAGAAAATGTCCACAGTATCTGTTCAACAAATACAGAGTCTCATGAGATATTTGTTACTTAAAATAATACCTTCAAGTAATTTTCTCTATAGCCAACTGCAGGAGTGGCATATTTCAATAACAGTTTGGAAAGTATAAATAAATGTGGAAATCACTCGGCATCAATCACATGGAGCTGATAAAATCAACAACTAAACACTATTCAAACACGAATCCAGGCAGAAAGAAGATAGCAAACGTATTTTACAAAATCTTGCACTTATAAACTCATTACAGACGATCAGGACCGCGTTACAACAGAACTTATGCAGCCATCATTGCAGAGAAGAGCATTACAAACATCAAATTGTAAACGAAAGAAGAGATATAAAAATTTCCATGGAAATGATTGCTTGCTTGTATGTAAATCCAACAAATCCTTAATTCACCAAAAAATACCTTTTTGTAATCCAAACTAAACGCATCTATAATCACAATAATTTGTATA